GCTGTTCAAGCATTGAATTGCTTATAGAAGCCTTACACGCATATGCGAACATAAGTCTTCTTTGTCTGTCTGAAGCTGAGCAGACCCCAGGGGCACCGTTATGTGACCTCAGGATGCGAGAGAGATTTCCGAGCGGACAATATCAGAAAAATATCAGAGATATCTCAGCCCATACCCCAGCTCTGGAGCATATAAGTTGCTTGGCGCTATTCCAAAAATCAGTTTTAAACAATTGCTCTACAACTTTTTTCGTCAATATTCAAGATGGCGCAGGACCGGCATAGTGAATACAATTTTTAAAGATGAATTTATGCTTTGAAGAATGTAAAACATTTGCAGCTGATTACAATTGATAAATAGGATTATAATTTCACAGATGTGCAAAAACAATTTGCTGTGGAATATTCCGCATTCTACGAAATAGATCAATTTGGTAATTATATTTCTATACATTTCTAATATTTTTTATATATTTAGGTATTCATTGTTAACTGACTTTTATTGGTGACTTTTAGCGAGAACTGCAATAGTCGACGTCTGCGGAGAAGGTGAGCCAGCCTAAGGCACACCTGTGCAATAATCATGCTGTCTAATCAGCATCTTGGAAAATGAATCCTTTTTTGTTGCTTTCATTTTAGACCTGGTGAAAGAGAACAAGGAGAGTGAAGAACTGAGTGAAACAGAGGAGAAACATCATCATGTAAAAGATGGAGAAAGTAATTTTTTTACTGAAAAGAGCCAAAGTATCTTTCACCTGCCATCAGTATGGAAAGAGTTTCTCATGCAATCAAAGTCTTAAGTATCACATGGGAGTTCACAATGAAGAGAAGCTACACACATGTGATCAATGTGGAAAGAGTTTCACTCAAAAAGGAACTTTTAAATTACATCTACGTGGTCTTTCTGGAGAAAATCCATATATCTGTGATCAGTGTCGTAAACACTTTTCTTATCCAGATTCCCTGAAAAGCCACCTGAAAGTTCATACACAGGAGAAGCCTTATATGTGTTCTTTGTATGAAAAGAGTTTTCCATGTGTGAGTGCTTTTAAATTACACCAGAAAATACACAGCGGTGTGAAAGATTATATGTGATTTGAATGTGGAAAGACCTTTTTTATTGCAGCTGATAAACTGAAACAGCACCAGATAATCCACAGTGCAGAAAAACCTTACAGCTGTTCACAATGTGACAAGAGATTCAGTTGGTCAGAACATCTGAAAACACATGAGATGATTCACAATGGAGACAGACCACACACATGTGATCAATGCGGGAAGAGATTTACACAAAAAGGAGGCCATAAGCATAGGCTCATTGGAAATACGTGCCTATACATTTCTGCAAAACTGAAAAAAAAAAACCCGTACACGTTCGATTCACTGCAGTTTCCAGTTGAAATGAACACTAGAGGCAGTAAAACTCCGACAACTTTTATTCCTTAGTATGATTTACATGCAGGTACAATTTTGATTAATTAATAAAGGCTAATTTTCACACAATTACTTGCAGAATGTTATGTTATGACTTCAAAACAATTTTAACATTCTGCTCGATTTGAAAACGGATACTTTTGAACGTTGTCGTCACATATACAGCTTCATATGTATGAGTTTTCTAATTCAGTAAGTTTAGCTCACGGGATACAGCGTTGCGCTTAGGTAATGAAGAACTCCGGAACGAATCCCATGAACTACGTTTCAACAAAACGGCTTAAATCTGCATAAGGAAGTTAAAATAGCATGGCTGCATCAGCGAATATGTTGTTATATTACTTTTGCACTTTGCATTTGTTAACACTATCGGGTACGTTAATCTTTAGCGACACTTACTGGATATTTGGATTCTGAATGGCCGCAAAACGTACCTCAAGCAGCATAATAAAAACGCTGCAATACGTGCCTGTACTACCAACGTAATAAAAACGTGCTATGGTCACGTATTAAACGTGTGTTTTAGCGCCACTCTCTGGACATTTAACTTTGAAACTGCAGTGAGGTACATAATTACGGTATTGCAGAAATGTATGTAGAGGCACGTATTTCCAATGAGCCTGTGTTGGCCTTAAAGTTCACATGAAAATCCACAGTGGAGAGAAGCCACATGCATGTGATCAGTGTGGGAAAACTTTTGCGCATAAAGGAAACCTTAACGTACACATGAAAATCCTCACTGGAGCGAAACCATACGTATGTGATCAGCATGGGAAGAGTTTTGCACAAAAAGCACCCCTTAATGATCACATGACAATCCACACTGGAGAGAAGCCCTCACCACGTGATCAATGTGGAAAGAGCTTTAGAAAATCAAGGGAAGCTGCTCAATGTGAGAAGAGTTTGTCATCTGTAAATGGTCTTAAATCACATCTGCATTCTCATAAAATCAGAAATCTTGTCAATGTGGCACCAGCAATCTAAGCTAACTACACTGAAATGTGTAAAAATGGTTCTAAACAGTACCAGAAAAGGGTTATTCGGCTTGTAACAATAGCAGAACCCTTTTTAGTGCTAAATAGAACCTTTTTCATAGGGTTCCATATTTAGCAGAATACATTAATGAATGATAATCGACATTAAACATAAATAAATGCTTAAAGAAATCAAACAAAATAGAACATAAAATAGTGAATTGAAGACCACGCTCCAGTGAAATATCTTCACAATCCTCTATTATGCCTTTTAAGTTAATCATTATCTGTATTTTGGTGTGATTGAATGGCAGTTTCTCTCTGCAGATGATGAG